TGACTTCACTCCTCTGGGCCTCCACGTCCTCATCTGCAAAATGGGAACAAGACAGCACTGACCTCATCAGGTAGCCGGGAGGACAAAGTGTGCCGAACGCTCAGAATAGCGCCTGGCAGGTGCTTCCTGAGCGTTCACGCGCCAAGGAGCTTGTGCGCTCCACTTGTTAAAAATCACGTCTAGACGAACTTCACCAACTCAATTCACATTTTCCCGGAGACTTTAATTTCGAAAACGAGGGATGAGACGTCTAGAAGTAATTTTGTCGCCGTGATAAACCCAAATCACCGAGAAATGGGGGCCAAGCCCTCCGTGGCGAGTCAGGCCGTGTGCAGGTCAGCGTGGCTTACGCTCGGCACCGACCCGGGTGCTCCGCGCTCAGAAGCGACGACAACAGACAACATAGAGCTCCCCCGTCTGTTGGTCTGTTGCGACTGGATCCGCAGCTCTGGCCCTGGACTCAGGGCTCCGCGGGGAGCTGAGCCCCAGGTGGCCCTTCTCACTCTCCTCCCCCCACGTCCGCCAACACCGCGGACGCAGGAGCCTGGTGGCCAGAGTCCGCCCTGGGCCGGCTGCAACCGGAGCGGAGACCTGGGGCCTCTCCAGGAACGGGGGCTTCCCTGCGCAGAGGGGGCCCAGAGGGCGGCCAGAGGCAGAGGCAGGCCGCTGCGGGAGCAAGACGACGGGCGGGAGATGCTCCCGTCGGGGTGCTGGGCGGGTGCCCACGTCGCGGACTCAGGGGCTCCTCTGCTCACACACGTTTCCAGTAAGAGTAAGAGACGCAGAGAAACAGCGGGAACCTGGGCTTCCCCGAGGAGCCAGGGGACCCTTCCGTGCCCTGTGGGAGGTCACAGAGGTGGTCTCCCTGGGCTGGAACCTGGTCCCTGCCTCCTGCACCCGGGCTGGTGGGTCCCTGGGGACGAGCCCATGCCCAGCGCACCGACCTTCCCAGAGGCAGGAGGAGGTGTGACTCCGCGCTCATGGGCCGGCAGCATGATGGGAACAGCGTTAGGGTCACACGTCCTGGGGAGACAAAGAGCCAGGAGGGTGCTTTCCATCTCAGCTCACACTGGGGAATGGGGAGGGGGGGACGGGGGGAAGGGGGGCTGCACCCCCTGCAGGGCTCAGCTCCTGCAGGTTAAATGCATCAAATGCATCGATCACCACGACCACACTCCCCGAATCATGTCATTTGGGGCTGAAAATGGAGGTCAGGGGTCAGGGGGGCCTTGAGCTCGGGTTTCCTGAGGCAGGTCAACCTCCCAGGCAGGTCACCCGCACCGGGCCCACGGGTGAAGCTGGAGGGGATGGAGGGGACAGGGAGGGCACGCCGCTGCGGTCGCTGTAACTCAGGAGGGCAGGTCTGGGGGGCGGGACCCTGGGGGGGCCCATGACCCTGGTCAGACCCACGTGTGGGTTTGGAGCAGGACGGTGACAAAGGCCCCGGGCTGTGCTGTGGCCCTGGGGTGGGGGGTGGGGGACACAGACGCCTCAGGACGGAGTGAAGGCTTAGCCGCGGCAGGTCCCCGAGAGGCCACAGGAGACGTGCACACGGGGAGCGAGCGCTGGCTCTGGGACAGCAGCGCACCTGCTCCGTGCAGGGGTGGGGGCAACACGGTGCGCCCCCACTAACGCACGTCCGCCGGCCCCGCCGGGCCCCCCCATCCATCCCTCCGGCTCCGCGGTGGCAGGTGCACCAAGGGGAGGCCAGGCCACGGGGGTTGGGCGCCTCGGGGGGCCTGGTCGGTTCCGGACCCTGCTGGGGACCCGGCCCCGCACCGCCCTGTGCGCCCGTCTCTGCGGGTCTCCTTAGCACCGCGCGCCCTTCACGGCTCAGGAAAAATTACCAAGAATGTTATTGACTCTAATTCTAATTTGTCGAGACTCGTGTTAATGACGCCTATTGAAGACATCCATTAGAGGCCCGTGAGGTTAATTAAACGGACAATTCCAGAACAGTTCTATTAGGAACCCCCCCCACTAAATTAATATTATAGACATTTAACAGATGTCCTAATTAGGCATTATGGCGAAGAAATGCAAACTAAATTAAAACAAAAGCCATTGTCCAGAAAGAAAGCTCTTTACCGTAATTTATGGCTTTTTTGGGGAATGCGACTGTTTCCTCCTCGGAACCTGAGATGAGCCCTCTGACCATCTTTCCCAGCATCTGGAACACGTCACCCCGAGAGCCCCAATCTTCCGTCACAGGCAGACGTCGCGGCTGGACCCCATCTGGAGTCCACGGGCCTCACCCGCGTGACGGAGCAGAGCAGCGCGGGCCGCAGGAAGGCCCAGGCTCCCACGGCAGGAGGGGACCGAGCCCGGCCCGCTGGGGGGTGGCACGGAGGGGCTCGGTGGTCTGGGGACGCGGGAGCGGGGCTGGCGACGGCGGGGCGGCAGCAGCTCGGCTCCTGAGCGGGGGCTGACCCAGCGCTGGGGGGAGCCGGCCGGGCTCGTGGGACGGCGTCCTGCAGCCCGGCAGAGGGGCTCCAGCAGGGGCCCCGGCACGTGCACTCGACGACGTCCCACGAATTCCCTGCAGGTCTCCTGCCCCGGGTGCCGGAGGTGGAGGGAGGCCCTAAAAGCGGCGCCCTAAGCCCCAGGGCAGCTGTCCTAACAAGAGTTAGAGACGCCAGGGAATCCCGGGGTGGCACAGCGGTTTAGTGCCTGCCTTTAGCCCAGGGCGCGATCCTGGAGACCCGGATCGAGTCCCACGTCGGGCTCCCGGTGCATGGAGCCTGCTTCTCCCTCTGCCTGTGTCTCTCTCTCTCTCTCTCTCTCTCTCTCTGTCTCTCTATCATAAATAAATAAATAAATCTTAAAAAAAAAAGAGAGCCAGACGGCGCTCCCCGCAGCTGCAGAGGCCAGGTGGGGACACGGCAACGAGGCGGCCAGGGAGACGGCCCTCAGCGGGCCCAGCCTGCGGCCCACCCGAGTCCTGGGCGTCCAGCCGTGGGGCAGCAGGTGAAGAATTTTCTGGAGTCCACGCAGCCGACGGCAGAGCGGTTAGGCGGCCCGAGCCAGCGCCGTGGCGACGACCGTGCCGGCCCCACCGTCCCGCACTGTCCCTGGAGAGGCTCCGGCCTGTCCTGTGGGCCCCGCAGTCGGCCGCTCGGCCCACTCGCATTTGGGAGAACAGTGGGTCCCGGGCTGATGCCCCCCGGCCCGCAGCTCCCGAGTCTCGCCCTGCGGCGTGACCACTCTGCTGCCGCGGGGGCCTCCCGGGTCGCCGGTGCCCGACGGTGGGCGCAGGAGCCCGACACGGCCTCGGCCCTGCTGCGGTCCTGCTCCAGCCGTGGAGGAGGGGCCCGGGCTGCAAACGACCACACGCCCTCCACGAGCGGCCCCGTCCACCTCCCTAGGCCTCAGCCTCTCGGGGCGCTCCCTGAGAGCCAGTGTCCGCCTGGGCTGGGCCCTCGGAGGATGGCCCGGTCCTCAGGGCACAGGACCCCAGGGCATCCTAGAAACAGGCAGGCGCGTTCTCCGCAAGCGTCCTTGGGGGAAGGGGACGGAAGCCCACAGAGGAAAGAGCCGTTCACACGCAGACGTGAGTCTGCACCAAACAAGAGCAGGTTTCACGAGGCAAGTGGCACCACCACGTTTCTGGAAAGCAGCCGCATGTGCACCCAGGGGCGCCCTCCCCAGCCGAGGGCTGGCACGCGCAGTGCGGTTAGGGAGTCACGGCGCCCCGGCCGTGGGCACCGGGCACAGGCAGGTGTCGCGAACGCCGCCCGGCCCCAGCGGGAGCCCAGGTGATAAAGGCCCGCGTGACGCCCGCGGAGCAGCCTCCTCATCCCTGCGCTCAGACCCCGGCTCGGCAGCCCGCGGTGCCACAAGGCTGTGGGCGCACAGGGCTCAGGCGGTGCCGGGGGCGGAGAGCTGCAGCCCGGGCAGCGACCACCCCTGGGGCAAGGCCCCGGGGGCACGGACGCGGGCGACCCCGAGCCCTGGGAGGCGCCGAGGCAGGCCTTCCTGCTCGGCCAGTCCCAGTTCACGTTTCCCGTCCCAGGGGGTTTGTCCTCCCGGGCGGAGGCTCTGCGGGACCCAGGGACCACGCGTCCGGCCCTGCTGCTGCTCCTGGGGTGATGGAAGCAGCAGCCCGTGATCTGCCGGTTTGCGGCCAGGAATGTTTCTGGCCTCACCGGGCTGGGGACACACCGACTTCTCCCCGAAAGGGGCCACCAGTCCTGAGCGCGTGGCGCTCCGACCACGGCACACGGAAGCCGGCCCAACCCCGTGCCCACGCGGGCCTGCCCAGCGGGGCCGAGCTCGTGGGCTGTAGGCTCTAGCCTGACCCCAGAGCCCGGGCCTCCGGCCGCAGAACGCGAGGGCTCCGCTGAGCAGCGACTGCTGGGGACGCCCCTGGGGGGTCAGCCTCGGGGGCGCTGCGGTCCCGCCCCCGGCCGCCTACCCCTGCCCCGAGCCCAGGAGCCCAAGAGCCACGGGAAGGCGGATCCCTGTGGACCGAGCTCCCGGCTCCCGGGGAAGGGCCACCAGGAGCACCTCCGACCTGGCTCCCTGCCCCCGGGCCGTCCCAGCTCTCCCTCCCAGAGCCCACGAGCCCACAGCCCCTTGGCAACGTCGCCGTCGCGCGTCCCCTCTCCCGGAACAGCAAAGGAAACCGCAGCTGGCCAGAGGTCGAGGGCGGGCGTGAGCTACAGCAGCCACTGTCCTCGGGAACGGGCGCCTGAGGGCAGCTGTCTGCACCTGGAGCGGAGCTGCCAGCAGCCTCTCAGCGCCCACGTGGGTGTTTTACTATTACGTCAACAACGGGTTCGTCACAGAGCATTCACGAGACACAGAAAAGGATGAAAAAGAAGTAAAACCCCACTACTGCCACCAGGCAGGTCACGGTGTGCGGGTCCTGCCGGGCTCTTCTCCCCCGGGGGCGGGACCGACTCGTCGCCATCCAGACACGCGCAGCCCGCGTTCCCTGCTCCGCAGCTCAGTGCAGGGTTTCTTTCCAGATGATGAGTGGTTCTTTTGTTTTTTTTTTTTTTTAAAGATTTTATTTATTTATTCACGATAGACACAGAGAGAGGCAGAGGGAGAAGCAGGCTCCATGCCTGGAGCCTGATGCGGGACTCGATCCCGGGTCTCCAGGATCACATCCTGGGCCAAAAGCAGGTGCCAAACCGCTGACCACCCAGGGACCCCCTGATGAATGGTTCCTAACTCTGGTGGTGACGCGTCGCGGTGGTCGAGAACCACAGCCACTTGTGCAAGGAGGACACGCAGGCGGTCCCAGTCCTCGGGGCACACACAGTGGCCTCCGCAGCAAAGACCTCACAGGTCCACTGTTCCCTTTGCTTTGAATTTCTTTGCCGATCGTTCACTTGATCGAAGCTGGAATTTGCTTCCATAAATGTAGGAAACGAAGCCATCGATCTCTACCGTGAACACGCAGTTTAGCTTGGGGATAACTGGAAGAAAAGGAGGAAAAAGGACAAAAAAATCCCGACAGTGAAGGTCATGTTGGCGCACAACGTCATCCCTAAAACACCTCGTGAGAAGTGGGGACCCACAGAGCTTGGCAGGACCAGGACGACAGGCGCTCTTGGCTGTTATTCAGATCCAAACACAATTCGATACCTAGCTTCTAGGGTCAAAGGCCCTACACCAAATTCCCAGAAAAGGTGCCAGGAACAGGCACCCTTCCCCACGGTTTTCAGACGGGCTCGTGGCTCTACGCCCAGTGGGGACCCCAGACACTACTTCCTGGGGTTTAAAATGAGACAAGAACATTCAGGAAATGGAGGAGGCAGAGGGAAAAACCAAGCTCCAGGAGGAACAGCTCCCGGGGTGGTGCTGGTCTCAGGTCCGTGGGCAAGGGGCGTGGGCGTCCCAACACACTGGAGCGTGAGCCTGCACCCGCTTCCGGAGCCCCAGGGTCACCAGCGGGCCCAGGTCTTGCAACTCCAGGGGCAGGCGCTAGCTCAGCCTCCCTGTCTCTTTAGCTCCACCCTCCGGGGCAGCAGCCTCTGGGCAGGGACGCCCCAGCCATGGACACGGACCCCCGTGGCTGCAAGCACACCAAGCGGCGCTTCCCGCGATCCCATCTGGCCGAGGCTGCTGGCCGCGCTCCCGGACGCCTGAGGGAGAGGCACAGGGCAGGGTCAGGGGTGCCCTCCGCAGGCGCGGCTCGCAGTCGGCAGCGACCTGCACTCTGTGCTGACGTGGGAGGCCAAACTGCCCCGAGAGGCCACGAGGACAAGGCTGACGAAGCCGGGTGCCGCGGGCCACGACACCGAGACACACGCACTTACCTTTCAGGCGGTCTTCTTTGGTGATGATTTTGAAAACGTGCTTCGTTTCCTGTAGGAGGATTCCCGTGACACCCACATAGGAGGGGCATTTGGATTTTGTGACTGCGGAGGAAAGCGCATTCAAGGCCTGAGCGTCGGGGGTGCTGGGGAGCCACAACCAGCGGGGTGGGGGCGGCTGGGGAAGGGTCGTCAGCGGGACAGGGCCCAAACGATGAGAAGCAAGGTCCCAACCCCCCTGCCTGTGGCTCCACAGGCTCTGGGCTGCCCTGACGCGGCGTCCCCTGGAGGGCCGTGGAGCCAAGAGGTCACGGGCGTGTCCAGCAGCACCGAGACCCAGAGGCAGCTGGGCGGGACCTGAAGGCGCCCGTCCATCGTGGCCTTCCCACCACCTCCCAAGCTCTGGCCACAACGGAATCCTGCCACAGGCTGTGGAGCAGCGAGGCGGACAGGCAGCCGGCCCCTGGCCTCTCCTGACCCGCGCCCCCGTAGCCGGCAGACGTTCACGGAGCACCAGCCATGGGCCTGGCACTGCGGGAGGACGGCGCCTGCGCAGCCGGGACCAAGGCTGTTCTGGGCTCTGCTCTCAAGGAGCAGGAGGGGAACGTGGACCAGATCAGACAACTGATTTTCTCTGATCACGTAACTGCCACGGTAATGGAGACGAAGGTCAGCTTTAGTGATGGCAGGCCCTCGGGGAGCTGGCACCTGAGGGACCTGGACACCGGGAAGCGGTCTGTGAACGCACAACCCTGGCACGGGGAGAGGACAAGTGCAAGGGCCCCGAGGCGGGGCCAACCCTGGTGTGTGAGCAGCGGAAAGCGGGCGGCTGTGCTTAGACCCGGTGCCTTTCAGACGCAGCAAGGAGAGAAACACGGCCTGAGCTCTGGGACAAGACCTTCCCTCTGGCTGCCTGTTGGGGGCGAAGCGGCGTGCCCGCAGGAAGGGGGTTAGGCTCGAGGCATCCAGAGGAGATGGTGGGGGCTCAGCTTCGGTGAGGACACGGGAGGGCTTGGTGCTGAGGCTCAGGAAAGAGAAAACGCAATCCCGCCTGGGGTTTGGGCCCGAACAGCCAGGGTACGCACCGGCACCGAGAGCGGACATGGGGAACGCCAGGGGCTGACGTGAGGAGGGGCGGAGTTGTGGGATTGGAGGTTGCGGCGCCCTCTGGACCCGTGGGTGGCTGGGGGGGGGGCAGCTGGAGGAGTGAAGGGGCGAGGGAAGGGCTGCCCTGGGGAGGGGACTGCGAGCGGATCCTCGAAACTGCAGGGAAACGGACCAAAGGGACGTTCAGGGCTGGGGGCAGTGCCGGCAGCTGCTGTGCCCTCGGGGGGCAGGAGGGTCCCGTGCGGAAAGGCGCACAAAGACCATTAGAGGATACAGAGTGGCCAGAACTGCTCGCCTCCCACCCTCAATGCTGGTGATCACGCGACAAGGAGCGTGTCTGCCTCCGAGCAGAGCCGCGCGGCCACCGAGGGACGGCACGGGCGTGCGGGGGACCACGCGCTCTTAGGCCAGTTACCTGAAATGAGAGCCCCGTGAAGGTCTGCCTTTAACAGCTTGGCCTGAATCATCTGTGGCTGCCTGGGAGGTAAACAGAGGCCTCAGTATACGACCATCAAGAGTCCCGAAGGGAGCACACAGTCCGCACACTTGTGCGGCCAGCTGGCCCCGAGGCCATTCACTGTGGTCGTAGGACTGGGGCTGTGCCAAAGGGCAAGGCTTCGCAAGAGCGACTCACGTGTCCGGCTTGAGACCGCCGCACAAGTCCCGGATGTACTGCTTCCAGAGCTCGTGCAGAGGGAGAAAAAGATTGTACCTGCGGCAAAGTTACAGAGCAGCAGAGTCAGGCGACGTGAGCTTGGGACGGAACATCGGAGGAGCCAGCGCGCAGCCTGAGGCCAAGGACTGCGAGCTGGGTCGGATCCCGGTGGTACAGTGGGGAACCGGACTACAATCAGGACTTCCGGCCTGGACCTCTGGCGGTCCCGCTGCCAGAGCCCTCTCGAGGCCACGGCGGGAGGAAGCTGCTGGCCTCCTTGGCCCCGCCGTCCTTCCTGCCGGCCGGCTGCAGCCTGGACAGCTGGCGCCCAAGTGGATCCCGCAGACCACGAGGCAACACGCAGACGCGGAGCAGCCAGGATGCACCCAGGGCGACAGCAGCCCGCGGGGGCGCTCACCCACACTTCCTTTCGTGAGGATTGTCTCGCTTAAGCGCTGCTGTGAGGTCGTGTGCTAAGAGCTGACCCCGGGGGGAGGGGGGGGTACACAGGAGTTGCTGGCTGGCTGTCGTGCACGTCCCCACATAAGGTAACGGGTCCGTCTGGAAGGTGAGTGAGCAAGGGGCAGGCCCAAGGGGAGGGACCAGGTGAGGGCACCTCAAAGGCTTTTGTCTGGGGTCATGATGACTGGTCCTGGCGCCTCATGGGGAACCTGCTTCAGGAAACTGTGGCCAGACAAACGGGAACCTCAGGCTCTAACTCCAAGTGGGCTCTACTGGTGCAGACACCAGCCAGGAAAACGTGGGCAGCGGTGGCCCCTTCCTCCTCCTCCACCCGAAGCCCAGCTCCTTCTGCGAGAAGGGCCACGGACAAAGTGACTGACTTGGTCTCGAGGGACGTGGGCGGCTTTCTGGCTACCGAGCTTGGAGCCAAGTCTACACGGTCTGAAGACACGCGCACGCAGAACCGCGGCCAAGGAGGGACGCAGCGCGGGCTGGAGGGAGGACCCCCCCCCCCCCCACAGAGGGACGCATCCTGCCCACAAAGCTCTGGCTCGCGTGGGCGGCACGTTCTCCGGCAGCAGAAGCCCAGTGGAGGGCTCCGTCTAGGGCCACTGAAAGCTGTAAGAGTGACGTGCAGATGCACCAGGTCCTCTTTCGCTAGGAAAGCCGACAGACAGCCGGCCTGCTGCCAGGGGTGCCAGGCTCACGTATGGTCCGGGCCTCAGCTACGGTGCGGACAGACAGACAGACGCCAGACAGTACAGCAGCCAGAGCCGCGCGGACTTTCAAAGCCAAGTGCGGGCAGGCTGCCCCCTCGTGGCCGACGCAGGAGGAGCGCCCCAGGCCCAGGAGGACCCAGAAGGTGGGGCTGCTGCAGGGGCTGCAGGTGCACATGCGGGGAAGGCACACGGGCGGGGAAGGCGGACATACCTCTGCTGCTCCGCTGTGATGTCAAAGAGGTGCAGCTCCCTCCTCTGCCTGGCGGACAGGCCTTTGGATCTTTTTCTCTTCTCTTTCCGTTTGCGGCGGGTGAAGTACTCCAGGACCACGGCCTTGCGTTGCAGCTGGTCCTCGCAAGCCTGCTGGCTCATGCGGGGCATGCTGCGCTTCAGGAAGGCTCTCACGAAGGCCTCGGCCTGCTGCGCTCCCGGAAGCTGCATGGGGACACGGCGGCTCGCTGTCCACTGCTCTGGTTGGGGCAGCCCCAGACCCCGGGCCCGCTACACCCCGCAGACGGGGTCCCTTCCTGACCACCCACCTGCCCGCCGGGCCTCACACAGCCTCTCATCTGCTCCACGTCAGCTACCCCAGCTGTCCAGATGCAAAAGTCACGTTCAAGTGCAGACTCCTGACTGCCCCACAAAACAGCCTCGTCAAAATTCAACTTCCTACCCTACTTCTCTGAGGCATACTTTGGTATGGATCGAAAAACAAAACAAAAAAACGCCCCAATAACAACCAACCCTTTACATTTGGAATAAAACACTTCCCTGACTCTTGGCAGGGAGGAAAGGCTGAGAAACGTGCGACGACAGTATTCATTCAGTCACAGCGCGACAGACGCAAGCTCGGAGTAGAACCCAGCTACGCCCTGGAGGGTGGGACGATCCTAACACTTGGGAACAGGGCACCACTGTTCCGTGGTGCCCCAGAGTGGGCCGGGCCTCGGGGGTAGGAATCTGGACGCTGTGTCCCTGTTGCAATCCTCCTGTCCGCCTGCGCGGGGCCCCGTGGATGCATCACGGCTGCTCGCTCAGTCGGCTCGCACTTCGCCGGCAGAAAGGGGGTGCCAGGGCGTCCCGGCCTCCCGCGCTCCCTCTCTCCCACAGAGAGCACAGCGTCATCTGGTCTTGACCTAGCACAGGCGCTTCGGACTTGTGGGCAACAGAACTGCCACGACTGTGCGCGATCCCCGAGAGAACTAACATCACCGCCTCTCGGGGTGGGAGCTCCACTGCTCACCCGTCCTTCGGGCAGGCGCCTGTGTCCTGGGTCGGCCCCAGCCCCGGGGAGCACCGTCTTCCCGAGTCCTGCCTCTTGGCCGAGCCATTCCCTGCAGCCCTGATGCGCTAACCAGGCTGTAGATACATGAGGCCGATGTGTCGGGCATCAAGCTCTCCCTAATGGAGAAGCAGGGGTGACAGGGCTACGAAGATGGGTCCCATCTTGGACCCACTTAATCCTCAGGGTGCTCACGGCAAGGGTGGCAGCCGGCTTTAGACGCTAACTAGGTTCATCGTCACCGTCATCATTACAGCGACAGGACAGCTATCGGCTTCCTTTAGGTACTCAAGTACCTTCCTTCACGAAGAGACCAAATAAAGGTCAAATAAAGGTCTGTCGGCCCTGGAGGACCTTGCGTTCACGTTGGGTCCCTCGTTACGAGTCACCAGTGGAGCTTCGGCCCAACTGGCAAAGAAGGTGTGCGGGATCCAGGTGTCACCCATAAACTGCACTCGCCAGGTGCCAGCTGCCTGGCCTCTGCAAGGGTCAAGGGGCACAGCGACGGCGACGAGGGGCCGCGCTCAGCAGCAGCATCAGCCGGGCACGGCCCGTGTCCCCTACACAGCGGGAGACGACGCAGGGTCAGGGCGTCCCAGTTAACCCGACGCGGGGAGAGAGGCCAGCGCGTGGACACGGGCCACCGCAACAGCAGGCAGGCCCTGGCTGGGCCGGGCTGGGCCGGGCCGGGCTGGGCCGGGCCGGCCCGCGCGCTGCGGAAAGGACACCTAGGCCCGGGCGGCGGCGAGCCCGGGGGCACCTTCGCTGTCGCTCCCGCAGTCCCGCCGCGCCCTACCTGAACCTCCAGCTCCTTCGCCTCTTTCTGGGAAAACGCACGGTACGTGGCACCTGCGGGATTCAAGCAAACCGAAGAACGAGAAGTGATCGGTTCTGGCTGCGGAGGTCCGGACCCGCGGCTTCTCTTTTTTCTTTTTTTTAAAGAGTTTGTTCATTCATGAGACACACAGAGAGAGGCAGGGACGCGGGCGGGGGGAGGCGGGCTCCCCGCGGGGCCCCGACCTGGGCCTCGATCCCGGGACCCGGGGTCACGCCCCGAGCCCCCCCCCCCGGCGCCCCCAAATCTACACGTTTCACGTCGTTCTGCTGCCGAACAACCCTTGAGAGTCGCTGTTATCCCGGCGCGCACCCGCGAACCCCGGATCCGGGATGCTGACGCCCGCGCCTGCGCGGAGGCCCCTCCTCGCCCCGCGCAGCCCCCGCCCCTCCCCCTCCCCGCCCCCCGCCCCCCCGCCGCGCCGCGCCAGCACGTCCCTTACCCTTCATCCTCGGGTCCTCCCGGGCCGGGCTGGGGCGGCCCCGCGTCTCGGCCTCCGCGCCCCTCCGACCGCCGGGGGCTCCGCGGGCCTCCCCGTCCCCGTCCCCGTCGCTGCGCCCCTCGGACGCCGCACCCGCAGGCTCCAGCCGGCAGCCGGGCTCGGCGCGCGGGACGCTGACGCGCCGCCTGTGACGTCACTGACGCGCGACCCCGCGGCCGCGCCTGCGCAGGAGGCCGGCCCCGCCCCCGAGGGGCCCCGCGGGTCAGGGCGTGGGAGGCGGGGTCTGCGCGCGGGGGCTCGGCGGGCGGCGTGGGCGGGGGCTCCGGGGGCGGGTCGGGTCGTGGGCGGGGGGGGCCCCTCCGGGCGGCGTGGGCGGGGGGCTCCGGGGGGCGGGGCGTGGGCGGGGGAGCTCAGCAGGTCGGCGGGGGCTGGGGGGCTCGGGGGGCAGGGCGTGGGCGTGGGGCTCCGGGGGCGGGTCGGGTCGTGGGCGAGGCGGGGCTCCGCGGGGCGGGTCGCGGACGGGGGCTCCGGGGGGCGGGGCGTGGGCGGGGGGCTCCGGGGGCGGGTCGGGTCGTGGGCGGGGGGGCCCCTCCGGGCGGCGTGGGCGGGGGGCTCCGGGGGGGCGGGTCGTGGGCGGACGTGGGCTCCGCGGGGCGTGGGCGAGGGGGGGCTCCGCGGGGCGGGTCGCGGACGGGGGCTCCGGGGGCGGCGTGGGCTCCCTGCCCCTGCCCCTGGCCCTGGCGACCGGTTGCGAGGAGCGTCCCCGCGGCCAGGCCAGGCCGAAGCAGGCGCCGCCGCAGCGCGTCGGGGGTCCGGTGCCCGCGTCCCCGTCCAGCGCCGCCCGCAGCTGCCCGTGCTCGGGGACCCGGGGGTGCCCCGTCTTGAGCCGCGCCAGGCCAGCGCCATCAGCTGTCTTCGGCTTCCGCCGCCTCGGGGGGCCGCGTTCTGTGCCCAGGGCCCGCCGCGTCGTGGACATCGGGGTGCACCTCCCCGTGGAGCCTCCTGCCTCCGTGCGGACCGCGGAGAAGCACGTCCTTGGGGTCTCGTCTGTGCCGCGCCGCGTGGGGGAGCCGAGGGGGTCCCGACCGCGGCCTTGGGCCCGAGCACAGACGCCCGCGGCTCCTGCGCGGCTGCAGGGCAGGTCTCAGAGGTGCGGTCCTGCGCGGCTGCACGCACCTGCGCGGCTGCACACACCTGCGCGTCTGCACGCACCTGCGCGGCTGCACGCACCTGCGCGGCTGCACGCACCTGCGCGGCCTGCTTCCGGGCGGTCGCGGTGAACCGAGCAGCGCGGGGGCTGCAGACCTGCTCGTGCCCCAATCTGCAGCCTTCCTCTCGGGCGCTCGCTCATTCCTCCCTCCGGCCCAGGGCCAAGCCCCCACCTCCCGGGACCCGGCTCCATCGTCATCCGCCTTCTGCCACGTCAGGCTCTCCCCGTCCCGGCCTTTCCTTGCTCAGCCCGCGCGCAGAGGAAGACTTGCATACTGGGCAGAAGGCGTCCCTTCCTCACCCACCCTCGTGGTCCTGCCTGCCCTCGCCCCCGTCTCCTCCCCTTCTCCGCCAAGCTTCTGAAAGTCTGGCCTGTGCCACTTCTGCCCGTCTCATTCACTCGCCCCCACTCGAGTCTTCTCCGGTGAAGGGGACCAGTTTTCCGTGTTGGCAAAACCAGTGAAACAAGCACGTAGGGCATATGGAAGGTCACAGCCCAGGATGTGCCCACGGCCCGGGTGGCATTGTGCCGTGTAAGCCCCTCTGGCGCTGAACCCGGGGCCTCTGGGGCAAGGACACTCGCAGCCCTTTAGTTGCTTAAGACTCTCCCTGCCCTGGTTTCCAGAACTTCATTCTCTGATGAGCTTCCTTCTACTGGTGTCTTTCTCCTCCTCCTACATCACAGTCTCTTTTGTGTGTACTTTGTCCCTGTGGGTTTTATATCGAAGACACTGTCCTGCCTCCACCACAAGCTCTTTCCAGTTGCCCTTGCGGTCTTATTTACTAGCTCTGTGTGCTTGCGCCCAAATATTTATTTCTGGTCCCAACCTCCCCCATGAGGCAAGTGAGTTTCCAGGAAGAGAGAGGTCCATACAGAGCCCAGGGTTCTCCTCAAGATGAGGAGCCGGAGTTGGAAAATCAGGGAGGCCAAAGTGACTGGCCCTTTCAGGCAGCCTACCAGAGGAGGGGTGGCGGTGGTGGTGGTGGGGGGGTGACGCGAGAGAGCTAGGAAGGGAAGGAGGGAGAGGGAGCACCTGGAGTCCTCACGTTCCACTCAAGTCAGTCATGCACGGGAGGAAAATTCTTGAGGCATCTGAAAGTACTTCTGAAAAGGAGCAGGTAGAAAAAAATCCCTGGACTCCTACGGGCTGGAATGAGTCTTGCTCCCAGCAGCAAACATGGAAAAACCTTGTAATGCCCTGTGTACTAAAATACTCAGGACTCCACAATTTACATGAAATGGACTGATTTCCTGAAAGACACAAACTACTAATGCCTAGTCATGAAAAGAAAGTAGATAACCCAAATGTCCCTATATCTATGAAAGAAGATAAATGTTTAATTTAAAACCTTTGCACAGGGTACCTGCCTGGTTCAGTCAGTAAAGTGCGTGACTCTTGATCCTGGGGGCATGAGGTCAAGCCGTATGTTGGGTGTGGAGCCTACTCAAAATGAAACACAATGAACAGACGACCATCACCACCCCCAACAACAACAACTTCTCATTAAAAATATTCTACGCCCTGGTGTCTTTAGTACAGAAGTCTACCGATCACTGAAGAAGAAATAGAGTCAATTCAATCCAAACTCTACTAGAAACATGAAGATGAGGGAAGAGTTCCTAATTTATTCCGAGGCCAGCATTACCTTTAGTTTGAAACCAGAAAAGACAAAAGAATGGAGGAAGGCACATTAAAATTTCTCATGCACATTAGATGTGAACATTCTTTTTTAAAAAAGATTTATTTATTAATGAGAGGCGCAGTAGAGAGAGAGAGAGAGAGAGAGAGAGAGAGAGGCAGAGACACAAGCAGAGGGAGAAGCAGGCTCCATGCACCGGGAGCCCGATGTGGGACTCGATCCCGGGTCTCCAGGATCGCACCCTGGGCCAAAGGCAGGCGCCAAACCGCTGAGCTACCCAGGCTGCCCAGATGTGAACGTTCGTAAGATTTTAGCAACTTGGATCCAACAAAACACAAAGAATATATCACAGCCAAGTGGCATTTATTGTAGGAACACAAGCACAGTTTAACATTTGAAAATAAATCAATGTAGTCATTTTTAAGAAAAAGGAAAATCCTATAATCTCAGTAGATGTAGAAACTAATTTGACAAAAGCCAACATCCAAACATGGCAAACTTGTCAAAAAAATAGTATTCATGCTAAAAATACATGGTGATCTAGGAATAGAATACAATTTTCTCATGGTGATAGAGAGTTTCTGTGAAAAACCTGCTAACATCATCCTTAATGGTGAAAGAGGAAGCACTTTTCCCATAAGATCAGGAACAAGACAAGTACATTCATTCTTCCCACTTTCATTCACTTCTATGCTGGAGGTGGTAGTTGGTGCAATAAGACACGAAAAGAAAAAAGCCAGCATATATTTCGCAAAGGAAAAAAGTAAACCCTATAAATTTGCTGACCGTATCCACCTAAGTAGAAAATTATAAGGAATCTACAAAAAACAGCTATTGAACTTATACAGGGGGTTTAATAGGGTTGCAAGAAAAAGATCAACGTGAACGAGCACATTGCATTTCCTTAAACTAGCAATAGTGAGAAATTAAAAGTTAAAGCCACTCACTTTATGATAGCATCAAAAGTTCTAACCACCGACAGATAAATTTGGTAAAAGATGTGCAAGTCCTGGAGACTGACACCTAGAAGACACTGCTGAGAGAAATTAGGGACTCGCAGAAACGAGGGGACGTAGGCCACGTTCATGGGTCAGGAGACTCGATATTGTTAAGCTGTCAATTCTCTTCAACTTGATCTATGGATTTCACGTTATGTCCATGAAAATCCTAGATGTGTTTTGTAGAAACGGACACGTTAATTAAAAATGTATACGTAGGTGCGAAGGTCCTGGGGTCGCCTACATGCTTTGGAAAGGAAGAATCCAGTTGGAAAACCTGCACTAAGTAGAAAGGGAGCAGGTGCGTTGCCAGTTGCACTTGGAGCTTTATGGCCTGGAGTTTTATGGCCAGGTGTGGAGCCAATCGTCCACCCGTATCTCATTGCCAAGGTTGAGTCCGTCTGTGCACACACTGGGTGTTGGGCAGCTGATCTCCTTGGGTCCCTTTCATCTACCGCACCCCCCTCTCCCCAACCATCTGTGGGATTTGGCTCACAGACCACACCCGCAACCTTCTGCGGGATGTGCTGGAGCCCCAGAGCCTCCTCCTTGTGAGCGGAGAGTATCGTCTCACTTGGAGCAGCCCATAGACAGGAGTGCCCGCCGTAGGGAAGAAACCCTTTCCATCTCTGCCTTGAGGCAGGTCAAACTCTGGGGCGTAAGGGATGGTTCGGCGCCTCCCAAGGGTCCGCCCCAATGTGCGGCCCACTGGGAATCACGCCCTTGCCGTCTTCTCCCTTCTCCTCCTGCTTCCCTGCCACCCCTCACTGGCTTCCTCAGAAGCTCGTTCTCAACAAGTCGGTCACACCCAAGGGAAGCAAGTGCTGGCGGGGACCTAGTGGCCTCGCTGCCCCTTTCCTTTCCTCCCGCTCCGTCCTTTAGGGATTCGGGGCTAGGCTTCCTGTTTTGGAAGAAACCTCCTCCAGGAGACCAGCTGCCTTGTGTTCAGAAAGGCGCCACGTTCACCTGTGTCTCCCTGCCGCTCATGCAGCCTGGCGACAGACACGGTAGCTGCTGGATGACCCAGCATTCCTGGACTTCCATCTCCTCGTGAGGTTCTGCTCTAAGGGAGCATAAGGCGCCACCTGAGGACGTTGTGTTCTCTGCTGCCTCCCTGACGTGGACGGTTGGGATATCCCAGAGGGCAGCTGGCGGGGAAGCTGGATCCTTGCTGCTGTTCTTGGTCCAGTTTCCCAAACCCTGGGCTTTGCGTGAAAACCTTCCTTCCCCCGTGTCCCCGCCTGATGACAGCTCCCGCGTTACACACTCTGGTGCTCTGCGATTAGGCAATAATGCGATTGGAACTAATGCCGCAGAGATGATGGTCTGCGGGGCCTGTTCATGAAACTGCTTCTACGATATTAAGCTCAATGTGGAGAAAGAGTAAACAGACCCATTTCTTTTTTTCCCCTTTTCTTCTGTTTTACATAAAAAGGAACTGGGTCTCAAAGCAGTTGTGGGTTTTATGAGTCCTCACGTCTGCTCAGCCTGTCGCTTTCGGGCCGAACGCATCAGAGGAGCCTTCCCCTGGGATCCATGTCTGCCGTGCAGCTGGGCAGGCTCTGCAGGCAGATCACGTCCTCGCACCTTGGGCAGCCCCTCGGATGCTTTGCCAAGCTGGTTCCCGGGGACCTGGTGACAGCGGCCTCGTACCCTCCTCCCTTCGCCTCCTGGGTCATGTGTGGGTGGGGAGGCAGCGCAGCGTAGGAGGGCCCAGCAGAGCAGCTTAGCCCTCAAACTTCTTTGCTTCAGCCCCTTTAGGAGCGTTCTGAGGGCGGCCATCCCTTTTAGGCCTGCAAGGCCTAGAGCTTTCACACAGCTGTCAGAGGCTGCGGAGGGCAGAGGCAGGATCAAATCCTAAATGGGTATAAAAAGTCTGGATTGCATCTCCCAGGAAATTATTCAAAAAATTCATAGAATCATTTGAAAATCTGGACCGCAAAGGTATTCCTAAGAGGCAATTACATAGCAATATGAGGCTTTCTTAGGAATGAGGAAAGTCTCACATATACATCCTAACCTTACATCTAAAGGAGCTGGAGAAGGAACAGCAAACACAACAGGAGAAGAGAATTAATAAAGATTAACGCAGAAACAATGATATAGGCAGTGAAGGAAGGTGGAACAGATCAAGCGTTCCACCGTTCAGAGAAGAGACGGCTTCCCAGGGGAATTGTACCAAACATTTAAAGAAGAACTAATGCATATTCTTCTGAAGCTGTTTCGAAGAATAAAAATGGAAGGAAAACTTCCAAACTTGTTTTATGAGGCCAGCATGACCTCGATTCCCAAACCAAAGGCCTCACCAAAATGGAGAATTACACACCAATATCCCTGATGAACAAGGATGTAAAAGTTCTCAGCAAGACACTAACCAATAGGAACTAACAAGACCTTGGGTGGATTATTCATCACAACCAAGTGGGATGTATTCCTGGGCTGCAAAGGTGGTTCAATCGATCAACGCGATAGATCACATTAATAAAGGAAAAGACAAGAACCATACAAGATCAAGACAAGATCTTCCCAATCGATGCAGAAAAAGCATTTTATAAAATAAGGCAACCTTTCTTGATGAAAACACTCCTCGGTGTGGGGTTAGAGGGAACATACCTCAATATCACCCGAACCATTTACAAAAACCCCACAGTGAACATCGTTCTCAGTGGGCAAAAACTGAGAGTCTCTCCCCTAAGATCAGGAACACGAGGGATGTTGATTCTCACCTCTGTTGTTCAACACAGTACTAGAAGTCCCAGCCTCTGCAATCAGGGAACAAAAAAGAAAGAAAAGGCATCCAAATTGTCAAAGAAGAGCTCACTCTCACTCCTCCCAGACGACATGATTCTCTAGGTGGAAAACCTAAAAGACTCCACGCCAGAATTGCTAGAAGTCATACAGGAATTCAGCAATGTGGCAGGATACGACATCAATGCTCAGAGGCTGGCTCAGAGGACTGAAGGGCTCTGGCCTGGAGGACACCTCCCTTTTGCCCCCCCTCCCCATTCTCGCAGATCCACACACACGAGGGTCCGCGGGGGCTTCCTGCAGGCCCGGCGCTCTCTGGCCAGGCTGCGCCCCGTGGCCCCGTGCTTGCTGGGGGGGGGGGGCAGAGCGGCGCCCTCCCCTGCCCGCAGCAGAGGCCCCAGGGCCTTTGTCCCGGGGAAGCAGCAGGCTCCCCGCCCGGCGCTGGGAGTGGGGCACGGGGTGCCCGCCGCGTCCGTGCTCCCTGCGCCGCGGCCTTGCCCGGTGCTCCCCGGCGTCACTGGAAGCGGCTTTGCTCCCACCGCGTGGCCTGTCGTCTGTGAGGTTCCTGGAGACGTTCTGAGGAGCTCGCTCGACGGAAATGCCTGGCTCCCGCGGGCCACCATGACCCCGCCGGCCCAGCAGGGCCCCCACCCAGGCCGCAAAGGCCTCCCCACCCAGGCAGGTGGCCCCGGGCCTGCGGGCCTCGCCCCGGGCTGGCTCCCCTGTGGGCTCCGTAGCCAAGCCTGAGGGCAGCTGCCAAGGGAACCCGCGTGGCGGGTCCGGCGTAGGCAGGGGGACAGGGGAGCGGCCGTGGCCAGAGCAGGGCCTGGGGGACACGGTGCCCCTCGCATCGCTGACGTCCCGACCCATGGAAGCCGCACAGACGCCGCCTGCTTATCCGCCCAGGCCTCCCCCCGGAGTCCGCCTGCTCAGGGCCGCGCGTGGGGGTGATGGAGCCTCGTGCACCTGAGGCCCCAGCCGGGAAGCCCTGGGGGAACAGGGACGGAGTCTCTGCTGTCCCGGCAGAAAGGGGGCCCGAGAAGGGATGCGCGCCCACGGCACCCCTTTCCCCGCCTTCCAGCCTCAGGTCCGGCAGGTGCCCCCCAGGGGAGCAGGGACACCCAGCTGCCGGCGGGAAGGGGCGTGGGGGCAAGGGGAGACCCCGGGCAGCTCCCAAGGCTGCGGCGCCCCAACAGAGCTCCGTCCACTGCGGGGCGCCCCTCTCCCAGGAGCTCCCACCGTGGGGGCGTCTCCTTGCTGGAGAATTCCCGGGTCGTTCTCCCGCCGGTGGCTTGGTTCATGGGAGGGGGCGGGTGTGCGTGCGTGTGTGGCTGGGGCAGGGGAAAGGGGGTGTTCTCCATACTCCCCGTAGCGTATTCCCTGCCATCCCTCCACACACACCTCTGCACCCTCCCTAGAGGTTCCCCAACCTCAGCTTAGTCCTGGAAGCTGGGCACCCCTTCCCTTGAAACCCTAGGAGTAAAGCCCAGCCTTAGCCTTTGAAGCTCCCAAAGCCAGAGACAAATGCTGCCAGAAATGGGGAGCTCGTGGAAAGCCCCTGATGTTGGACTTTGGTCACACACTCGGCAAATATTAACTCAGCACCTTGAGCTCTCCCACGTCCAATGAATGGGGGGAGGGGCTTCTGTGGGCCCAAGGCTCAGAGATCCCCCATCAAAGGCCAAGGGGAGAGGCCTCTTGGCGTTTCAGCAAAGTCCAAAGTAAGCTCAGCTTAAGTGAGCGGAGACTACGGTACAGGGCTGGGGTTGCAGGTGCAGATGGAGTGCGGGCAGGCGGTGGTTGTGGTGGACTGGCCTCAGGGAGAGCATGTGGAGGAGGAGAGCCCTCAGGCTCTAGGCTCTAGGCCAGCCCCAGTCCGGAGGCCACCCCGAATGAGGCCGAAGGCTCCACAGGAGCAGAGCATGAAGAAGGCTCCAGAGCAGCAGAGCATGAAGGAGGCTCCAGAGCAGCTGAGTGTGAAGGAGAAGGCTCCAGAGCAGCCAAGGGTGAAGGAGAAGGCTCCCGAGCAGCAGGGGGTGAAGGACAAGGGTTCAGAGCAGCAGAGGGTGAAGGAAGAGGCTCCAGAACAGCAGAGCGTGAAGGAGAAGGCTCCAGATCAGCACAGGGTGAAGGAGGAGGGTCCAGAGCAGCAGAGGGTGAAGGAGAAGGCTCCCGAGCAGCAGGGGTGAAGGACAAGGGTCCAGAGCAGCAGAGGGTGAAGCAGGCTCCAGAGCAGCAGAGCGTGGAGAAGGCTCCAGAGGAGCCGAGGGTGAAGGAGAAGGCTCCCGAGCAGCAGGGGGTGAAGGAGAAGGCTCCAGATCAGCACAGGGTGAAGGAGGAGGGTCCAGAGCAGCAGAAGGTGAAGGAAGAGGCTCCAGAGCAGCAGAGTGTGAAGGAGAAGGCTCCCAAGCAGCAGGGGGTGAAGGAGAAGGCTCCAGAGCAGCAGAGTGTGAAGGAGAAGGCTCCCAAGCAGCAGGGGGTGAAGGAGAAGGCTCCCAAGCAGCAGAGGGTGAAGCAGGAGGCTCCAGAGCAGCCGAGGGTGAAGGAGAAGGCTCCAGAGCAGCTGAGGGTGAAGGAGAAGGCTCCAGAGGAGCCAAGAGTGAAGGAGAAGGCTCCAGATCAGCACAGGGTGAAGGAAGAGGCTCTAGAGCAGCAGAGCGTGAAGGAGAAGGCTCCCGAGCAGCAGGGGGTGAAGGACAAGGGTCCAGAGCAGCAGAGGGTGAAGGAAGAGGCTCCAGAACAGCAGAGCGTGAAGGAGAAGGCTCCAGATCAGCACAGGGTGAAGGAGGAGGGTCCAGAGCAGCAGAGGGTGAAGGAGAAGGCTCCCGAGCAGCAGGGGGTGAAGGACAAGGGTTCAGAGCAGCAGAGGGTGAAGGAAGAGGCTCCAGAACAGCAGAGCGTGAAGGAGAAGGCTCCAGATCAGCACAGGGTGAAGGAGGAGGGTCCAGAGCAGCAGAGGGTGAAGGAGAAGGCTCCCGAGCAGCAGGGGGTGAAGGACAAGGGTCCAGAGCAGCAGAGGGTGAAGCAGGCTCCAGAGCAGCAGAGCGTGAAGGAGAAGGCTCCAGAGGAGCCGAGGGTGAAGGAGAAGGCTCCCGAGCAGCAGGGGGTGAAGGAGAAGGCTCCAGATCAGCACAGGGTGAAGGAGGAGGCTCCCAAGCAGCAGGGGGTGAAGGAGAAGGCTCCAGAGCAGCAGAGTGTGAAGGAGAAGGCTCCCAAGCAGCAGAGGGTGAAGCAGGAGGCTCCAGAGCAGCCGAGGGTGAAGGAGAAGGCTCCAGAGCAGCTGAGGGTGAAGGAGAAGGCTCCAGAGGAGCCAAGAGTGAAGGAGAAGGCTCCAGATCAGCACAGGGTGAAGGAAGAGGCTCCAGAGCAGCAGAGCGTGAAGGAGAAGGCTCCCGAGCAGCAGGGGGTGAAGGAGAAGGAGAAGGCTCCAGAGCAGCCGAGGGTGAAGGAGAAGGCTCCAGAGGAGCCGAGGGTGAAGGAGAAGGCTCCCGAGCAGCAGGGGGTGAAGAAGGAGAAGGAGAAGGCTCCAGAGCAGCTGAGAGTGAGGGAGAAGGCTCCCGAGCAGCAGAGGGTGAAGAAGGCTCCAGAGCAGCACAGGATGACCGCGTCACTGTTGACTGTGGTAATGGTAGTGGTCACAGTGGTGGTGGCGGCAGTGCTGTTGAAGAGAACAGTGACCGCAGATGTGGGGATGGCTCAGGACATGACGGTGGTGACAACAAAGACAAAGGAGATCTTGTCGGAGAAGGTGATGGCGGAGGGGAGGCCTGTGATGGAGGAAGAGAGGACAGTCCCGGTGGAGGGGAACACGGCATGGGCAGTGAAGGCACAGAAGACGGTGGTGACAGATCCAGAGATGGTGCAGGAGGGGAAGGCGGTGGTGGCAAAGGCGGCAGCACACAAGTTGGTGAAGACTTTGGTGGACGGTATGACAGCTACAAAGGAAGAGAAGGTGACGGCGGCAGATGCAGAAAAGACGATGGCGGCAGAGGCGAAAGCCTGGGTGACAAGGGCTATGGAGATGTTCCTGGAGATGGTGATGCAGAAGACAATCGAAGGGTTGGTGGAGAAAGCGACAGCAGTGCTGGCGGGGATGACAGTGGAGCAGAGTATTGTGGCATCGGCAGTGTTGGTGGTGGTGGCAGTGGTGGTGCCCATGGCACTAAGGTGATTGGAGATCAGAAGGTGGGGGCTGGAGGGGGGTGTGAGGAGGGGGGACGCGCTGGGAGGGTTACCTGAGGCGAGGGGAGGGCGGGCCTCCGTTGCCTGCAGCTGCGGCCCAGCAGGTGCAGGGCCTGGGTCCCCACAGAGAGGCCAGCGCCCGGGGCGCAGTGCCAGGAGACCTAGGGGCTGCAGGGCCCGCCCCCCGGCACCAGGGCCCGTATGAACCACTGAGGCACAGAGAGGCCGAGTCACGGCAGAGGCAGAGCAAGCGGCCTAGGGGGCTGTGACCCCGGGGGCGGGACTCAGGGCGCTGGCGCCGAGCAGGGCGTCCGCAGTGGCTGGGGTGTGCGTGAGCTCCGGGGTCACCGGCTGTGCGCCCCTCCGGTGTGTGCAGGACGGCGTCCTAGGAGGATGCGGGTGCCAGCGCCCCAGCCCGCCCGCCGGAAGGTCCTGGGGATGGGAGGATGGTAAAGATTCCCCAGGGGCTGGAAGTTTCCTTAGCCTTTAGGAGAAGACACGGGGAGACGCCGAGAGGTCGCAGGGTGACCTCCCTATGGCTGGGAGGGCAGGGACAGGGCACAGGGAGGAGGCACCTGCTCCCCTAGGGCAGGGGTCAGGGCGGCCCCGTGCTTGGTCAGGACAGGTCAGCGCAGATGGCCGTGGACGCCGGGGTTTCAGCACCAGCCACTCCCCGTCTCTCAGGAGTTGGGGCTGCTGCGACAGGGCCACGGGGGCCGTGGGGACATGTGCCCCGGCCTGCCAAGGAGGAAGACAGGCCTGCCGGGACCCTATAGAGCCCAACAGAGAAGAGGCGGGACTGAGGCCACATCCGGGCTCTGCGAGGCCGCCAGGTGCCCTCCGAGCCTCCCCTCCTCCGAGCGTCCCCCTCCCCGGAGCCTCCCCCTCCTCGCACCACCTGGTCCAGCTCAGAAGCCGCGCTGGGCTCCCGGGTGGGCTCACCTCCCTCTTCCCCGGAACCAGCCGTGCAGCACCCCAGCCTGGTGCTGGTGACATTGGGGCCGCCAGTTGGCGCTGACCCTCCCCCCCCAGCCCCCGGGCAGCAGAGGGGCTCTCTGGGCCCAGAGCCCGTTTGTGCGTGAACCTGCTGGTGAAATACGTGCGCCGTGGGGAGGCGCCGGCCCACCCTGAGGCCTGTCCCCCCGCGTCCCTGCGGTACAGACGGCAGGCGAGGAGTGGGGAGACGCAGCACCGACTTCCCACCCCGCGTGGTGAAGTCACGAGTCAGGAGCCGGGCTTTCAGCGAGGCCCCGGGCCCCGGGTCCCAGCCCTTCCGCGGGGTCGGGTGATGCTCTACCTGCTAATGAGGCCCCAAGGAGCTTCACCCAGGGGTGTCTCGCAGTGAGGCCTCGGTGGGGAGCCCCTGCACCCGGGCAGAGGTGGGCCGCTCCTGCCCGGGCCCCGGAAGGGCCGCGTCCACCGCCCGACACCGGCTGGCTCCCCAGCTCTGCGCAGCCCTGGCCTGTGCCCTGCTGGGCCCCGGGGGGCCCGGGGGTGCCGTTTGCACCACGAGGCCTCCCTAGCCCCTGGCGTTGCTGGGAAGTCATTCAGAGCAGCTGGGGAGCTAGGCTCCCTGAGGGACACTGGGGGGGCCTCTCCTGCCCCTTTCCGCGCATTTCCTCGCCCGCAGTGTGAGTGCGGGTGCGCCCTCCCCACCGGTGAGGGCAGCCAGCCCCGCAGCCCATGGTGGGCTCCTCGGGAGCCCGCAGCGGGCAGCTCACCGCCGCCTCCAGAGGGCCTGCCAGGACTGCCCGCGGCCTCCCTGCTCCCCAGCACAGCGGACGGCCAGAAAGCCGGCATGAGCCGGGTGTGAAGGACACAGCGGGGACCCGGGAGGACCGCTCGCTCTACGAAGGGACCTGCCGTGAAATGAGACCCGTGGGTTCTCAATACGCGAAATACATTAGTATCTGACACAAAACTCATTTTGCTGGCATAGCTGCGCAGCACCTGCGGGCCGGGTAAACCAAGTCCCAGCCCGCGCCCCCTCCTCTCTCAGGGACTCGCGCCAGGTGCAGTCCGGTTGCCCTTAGGACGCTAGTGCGTTACTGTGACGCGTGTGTGCACGGGGCTCGCCCGTCCCGGCGGCTCGCTTCCAGGGTGGAGGAGGGGCCTGGACTCTGTGCCAGGGCTGCAGTACGGGGAAAGGAGCCGGGGCGCCACGGGTGTCCTGGCAGGTCCGGGACGCAGGGAGCCAGGGCGGGGCAGGCGCACCTGACCTCCTCCAGGCCCTGGAGCACCCTGCGCGGCCTCCACACCCCACCTGGTCAAGCAGACACGTTGGGGGGATGTGGGTGGCGCTTTGTGAGCTCGAGGGCAACGTGGCAGGTGGCAGGAGCCCTGGGTCGTGCTCTCCTAAGCTCTTGCTGTCCACACTGCGGTTAGGATGCCAGCTGGAGGCTTGTGGCAAAGGCAGCAGCTCAGCCCGCATCGTGGCTGTACGTGGCAAGGCGGGCAGGGAGTCCCGTGCACGGTGGGGACCCCGGGACCTCAGGAACTCTGGGGGCCAGAGCGCGGGATGCTCTGACCGCTCCTAGGACTGCACAGAAGCCCTGGGGCCTGCCTGTGGCCACGCCGCAGACCCACAGACTTGTGGTAAGGGCTCCCGGTTCTCTCCCAGGACCGGGAGGGTACCGTCGCCTTAGAGCCTGGTGCTGGAGGACCCTTGGGGGGAAAGATGTCAGCAGACGTTATTGAGCAACAGGGTCTGCCCCCTGCCGAGTCGAGGTCCCTCAGCGATGCTTGAGGACTCGGGCGTCATGGAAGGGAGGGGCCCTTCCCGCCTGGGGTCCAGCTGAAGCCGGGGAAGCAGCAGCAGCTCCCGGCCTCTTGGGCCTTACTCCCGGGGCCCATCAGGTGGTCCGTCAGCGCTGTGCTCCCCACGCGCCCCACCTGGGCAGAGCCCATGCTGCCCGTGCCCCGCTTGCCTGCCCACTTCCCACCCGTGTGGCCATCAGCTTCCTGACCTCAGGGAGCTCCTCAAAGCTCATCGTTGCGAAGGTCCGTCTGTCTGTCCCGACCTGCAACCCCCTGCATTTCTGCGGCTGTGTCACCTCTTGGGTTGTGGCCCTTCCCAGGTCACCTGGCCCTGCCTTCGCAGCTCACATGCGGAGCCCCACTGGCATCAGGAGGGGCTGCTCGTGCAAAAGCCAGAGGCGTGTATGGGTGAGAGAATATCCACCAGGGCCACCCTGACCCCCGCTGGGTGCCCGCCTCCGATCCCCTCAGACCCTCGGCAGCTCAGCCTGTAGCTGGTGTGTCTGCACTTCACACGCAGGACTGGGCGAGTGTGCTCAGGGGCCCAGGGCGGGCACACGCGGTCCCCGTGTCCAGCGCCTTCCCCTGCCCCGTCCCAGGGCCGGGATCGAGGCCGGGGCGTCATGCCCCCCACCAGGCTCCAGGCCCCGGGGATGCAGGAGCCAGCAGAAGGCCGCAGACGCCAGGAGGGTGCACTGGCCTCCGCGGTTGGCTGGGGGGAGCGCGTCCTGGCCTTGCTCCTTCCTGTCATACAGCAGAGGTTAAGCAGAGGGCAGGGAAGACCTTCCGTCCGGTCCGATTCCATCTGCTTGTTAACTAAGTGCCACCTGCTTCATCTGAGCCAAGGAACGGCCCTCAGGGCTGGGTGCCCTCTGTATGCATACGGCCGTGCTGCTGCCGTCCACTCGGCCTCGACACTAGGAGGAGTAGCGTTTGGGCAGAAATACTCTGATGCTCATTAACACTCTCCCTTTGAAATGCTTCTTCCAGGTTCATCAGGGAATCCGTCCAAGAAGAAGGCATCATGATGGTGCTCTGCTCCATCGCTGAGGAGAGGAAGATAGCTAAAAAGAAGGGCACAAGGTTTTGGGGTTTCTTTGTAGGTCTGTTCAGAGCCCAACCCAAAGAAACTGCTGGTAAGTGCAAGCTCCGCGCGGGGCAGCCAGTCTCCAGGGCCTCGTACAAACAGCCTTGACGCCACAGAGACCCCACGGAAGGGTGACCGTGTGCGATGCTTTGAGCTGAGGTTGCTTCTGTGACATGGTCTCCGTGTACCTAACTCATCCTATGGGAAACACGGGCTTGAGCCTGAATGTCTCAGGAATCCGGGCATCCTTGCAAATGGCACGTGTCCACCCAGACCCGGGGCGCCTCTCCCCGCAGGGACGTGTCCCAGCGTCCGACAGTGGGGCCGTGCTGGGTCCCCGCCGGCCTCCTGGCCCTGGCACCATTACGTGTCCCTGCAGAGGGAGCCGGGGGAGGCTGGCACGGCCGAGCACCCACGAGCAGAGCCGGGGGGGCCCTTCTCCACTTGCTCGTGGGGAGAGACGGCCGGGTCCGGAGCAGACGGGCCCAGGCCGGAGCAGCAACAGCCGTCCAGGTGCAGATGAGCGCACCTGCCGCCGGCTGAGGCGTCTCTCGGGCGTCGTGGGGGACGTTCAGCAGACCTTGGGAACGACTGCTTTCCCCTCCCGAGTCCTCCTTCCTCTGCGGCCGAGGGGCAGCCTGGCCGGGGCCGCGTTCCGCCTCCGGGCCCGAGGCCGGCCTGGCTCCGTCCCGGGGAGGAGCGGGTTTCCAGCTGCGTCCACGCCGGGCCTCCTGGGAGGCTGCAGGCTCCCGCCTCCTGGCGGGGTCCACTCAGGCCCGGGCCCCTCTGGCCCCGGTGTCTCCTTTCAGAGAAACCCTTCACCTGGACCGGGCCGGCGAAGCACAGAGCGGCTGGCGGACCGTGCGGAGAACCCCCCAAACCCCTCAGCCGCTTCCGTTCCCCCCACGTTCCCATCTTGCGTCCTTGCGGTGCATTTGTCACAAGTCAGCAACCAGCCCCGACGCGTCACTATTCTCCGTTCCCGGGCTCGATCGGGACTTTGCTAGTTCTCGCGTCAACGGTCCCTTCCTGTCCCAGACCTTCGGAGGAGGAGGGGCGCCCGGCTCATGGCCCCTTTTCAGGGACACGGGACCTCCACGGGGCCTCCCTGGGGACGCCCGCCACGACCTCTGGTTCAGGGGGTCCTTGCAAGGTTTGTCCACGTGACCCCAGCGTCTCTCCTGTCCAGGCTCTGCCCTTTCAGGGTCACTAAGTAGCTGCGCTGCATCCATTACCATCTCGTCATGATCTTTAAGAATCATGAGACTTCTTATTTTTAATTAAAATATATTTAGAGATTTTTCAAAGAATGCTGGGCTTCCTCATGTATATTTTTTCATCTTAAGCATTTTTACTATGTTCAATTTACATTGAATAACTTCCATATAGTGTATTGTTACTTGGGGATCCAGCAGCTTATACAATACCCACTGCTCATAAATCGCAGGCCTCCTCACTGCCTATCACTGGGCACTCTCTCCCCTCAACCCCCACCGTCTGCAACTCTCAGCTTGTTTCCTATGATTAAGAGTCTTTTATGGTTTATCTCCCTCTTTGATTCCATCTGATTATTTTTTCCTTTCTTCCCTATGACCCTCCGTTCTGCTTCTTAAATTCTACGTATCAGTGAGATCATATGATAATTCTTTCTCTGAGTTACTCAGTTCACTTAGCATAATACCTTCTACTTCCATCCATGTTGTTGCAAATGGCGAGATCTCATGCTTTTTGATGCCCATTGTAGTCCACTGTATATACACAGCACCTCTTCTTTATCCATTCACCTGTGGATGGACATCTGGGCTCTTTCCATAATTTGGCTATTGTGAACATTGCTGCTATAAACATTGGGGTACAGTTGCCACTGCCATTCACTACATTTGTATCTTTGGGGTAAATACCCAGTAGTGGAATTCCTGGGTTGGAAGATAGCTCTGTTTTCAAAATTTTGAGGAACCTCCAGTTTTCCACGGTGGCTGCACCAGCTTGCATTGTCACCAACATTGTTGAGGGTTCCCCCTTTCTCCACATCTTCACCAACATTTCCTGTTTCCTGACTTGCTAATGCTTGCTATTCTCACTGGTGTGAGGTGTTATCTCATTGCCATTTTGATTTGTATTTCCCTCATGTGGAAATGAGGAGCATTTTTTCATGCGTCTGTTTTTCATGTGTAGGTCTTCTTTGGAGAATGTCTGTTCATCTCTTCTGCCCATATCATGACTGAATTGTTTTTCTTGGGTGTTGAGCTTGGTAAGTTCTTGATAGATTTTGGATACTAGCCCTTTATCAATAAACATTTTTAAATATCTTCTCCCATTCTGTAGGCTTTCTTTTGGTTTTGTTGACTGTTTCCTTTGCTGTGCAGAAGCTTTTTATCTTGAAGTCCCAATAGCTCATTTTTGCTTTTGTTTCCCTTGTCTTTGGAGACAGGGCAAGGAAGAAGTTACTGTGGTCGAGGTCAGAGGTTGCTGCCTATTGTCTCCTCTAGGGTTTTGATGGGTTCCTGTCACACATTGGATCTTTCATCCATTTTGAAGTTTTTTTTTTTTGTTTTTGTTTTTGTATGTAAGAAAAGGGTCCAGTTAAATTATACTGCACGAGGCTGTCCAATTGTTCCAAAACCATTTATTGAAGAGACTGTTCTTTTTCCATTTGATATTCTTTGTTAAAGATGAGTTGACCATAGAGTTGTGCGTCCACTTTTGGGTTCTGTATTCTGATCCAGCACGTGTCTGCCTTTATGCCAGGAACATACTGTCTTCATGATGACTGATGGCTTTGTAATAAAGCTTGAAGTCAGGCATTGTGATGTCTCCACCTTTGTTTTGCTTTTTAAAAATTCCTGTGGTAATCTGGGGTCTTTTCTGGTTCCATGCAAATTTTAGGATTATTTGTCCGGCTGTATTCAAAAAGTTGATGGTATTTTGATAGGGATTGTATTAAATGTGTCGACTGCTCTGGGCAGCATAGATATGTTAACAGTGTTTGTTCTTCCAATCTATGAGCATGGAATGTTTTTCCACTTCTGCGTGTCTTCCTGAGTATCCTTCATGAGTGTTTTTTTTTTTAAATTGAAGTTCGCCAACATATAACACCCAGTGCTCATCCCATCAAGTGGGGTCACCCAGTCACCCCATCCCCCTGCCCACCTCCCATTCCATTACCTCTTTTTTGTTTCCCAGAGTTAGAGGAGTCTCTCATGGTTTGTCTTCCCTCTAATTTTTCCCACTTAGTTCCCCTCCTTTACCCTATAATCCCTTTCACTATTTCTTATATCCCTGTATGAGTGAAAGCATATGATATGGTCCTTCTCTGAGTGACTTACTTCACTCAGCATGGTACCCTCCAGTTCCATCCACATCGAAGCAAATGGTGAGTATTCATCCCTTCTAATGGCTGAGGAATATTCCATTGTATCCATAGACCACAGCTTCTCTATCCATCATCTTTCGATGGACACCGAGGCTCCTTCCATAGTTTGGCTACTGTGGACATTGCTGCTAGAAACATCAGGGTGCAGGTGTCCCGGCGTTTCACTGCATCTGAATCTTTGGGGTAAATCCCCAGCAGTGCAATTGCTGGGTCGTAGGGCAGGTCTATTTTTAACTCTTTGAAGCACCTCCACACAGTTTTCCAGAGTGGCTGCACCAGGTCACATTCCCACCAACAGTGTAAGAGGGTTCCCTTTTCTCCACATCCTCTCCAACATTTGTGGTTTCCTGTCTTGTTAATGTTCCCCATTCTCACTGGTGTGAGGTGGGATCTCATTGTGGTTTTGATGTGTATTTCCCTGATGGACAGTGATGCGGAGCATTTTCTCGTGTGCTTGTTGGCCACGTCTACGTCTCCTTTGGTGAAATTTCTGTCCATGTCCTCCGCCCATTTCATGATTGGATTTTTTCTTTCTTGGGTGTTGAGTTTAGTAAGTTCTTTATAGATCTCGGAAACTAGCCCTTTATCTGATAGGTCATTTGCAAATATCTTCATGAGTGTTCTATAGTTTTCTAAGTACAGATCCTTTGCCTCTTTGGTTAGGTTTATTCCTAGGTATATTATGGTTTTGGTGCAATTCTTTGAGGGATCAGCTTCCTAAATTCTCTTTCTTCTGTCTCATTGTGAGTGTACAGAAATGCAAAGGATTTCTGTGCATTGATTTTGTAAAATGCCACATTGCTATTCCTGTAGGAGTTCTAGCAATTTTGGGGTGGAGTCTTTTTGGTTTTTCACAAACTATCATGTCAGTTTGCAGAGATAAGAGCTTGACTTCTTCAATACTAGCTGGATGCCTTTTATTTATTTTTGTGGTCTCATTGCTGAGGCTAGGACTTCTAATACGGTGTTGAACAACATAGATAAGAATCAACATCCCTGTCACGTTCCTGACCTTGGGGGGAAAGCTATGTTTTTCCCCAAGGCGAATGACCATTGCTGTGGGGTTTTCATAAATGGAATTTATGATATTGAGGTATGTTCTATCCCCACACCATGGAAAGTTTTCAAGAAAGGATGCTGTACTTTGTCAAATTAATTTTCTGCATCTATTGAGAGGATCCTATGGTTCTAGATCTTTCTTTTATTAATGTTGTGATGCACATTGATTGGCAGATGTTGAACCACCCTTGCAGCCCAGGAATAAATCCCACTTGGTTGTGGTGAATAATCCTTTCAATGTACTGTTGGATCTCACTGGTTAGTATCCTGGTGAGAATTTTTGCATCATTGTTCATCAGGGATATTGGTCTATCGGTCTCCCTTCTGGTGGGATCTTTGGTTTGGTATCAGGTTTTGCTGGCCTCACAGAACAAGTTTGGAAGTTTTCCTTTCATTGCTACTCTTTGAAAAACTTCAGAGGAATACATATTAATTCTTTAAATGTTTGGTACAATTCCCCTAGGAAGCCATCCAGCCCTGGATTCTTGTTTGTTGGGAGATTTCCTATTACTGCTTCAGTTTCCTTGCTGGTTATGGGTCTGTTCAGGTTTTCTAGCTCTTCCTGTTTCGGTTTCATTAGTTTGTAAGTTTTCAGGAATGCATCCATTTCTTCCAGATTGCATAATTTGTTGGCGTATACTTACTCATGATATGTTCCTATAATTGTATTTCCTCGGTGTTGGTAGATATCCCTTTCATTCGTGATTTTATCTATTTGGGTCCTTTTTTTTTTTTTTCATTTTCAGAAGTCAGGCTAGGGGTTCATCGATGTTATCAATCCTTCAAGAACCAGCTCCTAATTGCGCTGATCTGTTTCACTGTTCTTTTGGTTTCTATGTCATTGATTTCTGGACTTATCTTTATTATTTCTCTTCTCCTGATGTATTTCCTGTTTTTTTTTTTTTCTCCAGGTCCTTTAACATGTAAGGTTAGGTTGTGTATTTGAGACTTTTCTTGTTTCTTGAGAAAGGCTTATATTGTTGTGTACTTCCTCTTCAGACCATCTTTGCTCTATCCTAGATATGTAGAACAGTTGTGTTTTCATTTTCATTTGTTTCCATGAATTTTTTAAACTCTTTATTTTTCTGGTTGACTCATTCATTCTTTTTTAAAATTTATTTTTATTTTTTTTTGACTCATTCATTCTTTAGTAGGATGCTCTTTAATCTCCAAGTACTTGAGTTCCTTCCAAATGTCCTATGGTGATTGATTTGTTTTCAGAGCATTATGGTCTGAAAATATTCAGGGAATATTCCCAATCTTGTGGGACCAGTTGAGACCTGCATTGTGACCCAGTATGTGATCTGCTCTGGAGAATTTTCCATGTGCAGTTGAGAAATGTGTATGCTGTTGCTTTAGGATGACATGCTCTGAGTATATATCTGTAATGTCCATCAGGTCCAGTGTGTCATTCAAAGCTGTTGTTTCTTTGGTGATTCTGCTTAGATGATCTCTCCATTGCTGTGAGTGGGGTGTTAAGAGTACCCTACTGTTATTGTATTATCATTTCTTTAATTTTGATATTAATTGGTTTCTATAATTGTCTGCTCCCGTGTTACAGGCATCATTTACAATTTTTAGAGCCTTTTGCTGCATAAACTCTTTAATTATGACATAGTGTCTTTCTTCATTTCTTGAGTCTTTAAATTCTAATTTGTCTATAGAAGGGTTCCTACTTGAGCTTTCTTTTGACGTCCATTACCATGATAGATGGTCCTCCACTACCTTACACTCAACCTGGAGGGGTCTGGTCTTTGAGTCTAAAATGAGTCTCCAATTCCTCTACCATCTTGAAAGCCTTCTCACCGCACTTTTTAATGAAGAAAACTGGCATACGTGTGGTAGCCATGGGCCAGCAAGGGGTAGTCACCATCCTTTAGGCAGGGACCCAGCTCCCGGTCACTCACAGGCTCCCTGAGCCGCCCTCATTCCTGCCTGGCCCCAGAGGGCACCCGAGTGTGATTCCCCCGCCCCAGGGCCCCTTCCTGTAGCAAACCTGCAGCCCACCCGACCAGATACAACCGTCCCTCGACACAAGCCCTCGAGTCCCAAAGTCGTGCACCCGAAACTGGATCCTAAATTTTCTTTTAAAAATGTCGATTATGCCCCTTTGAGGTAACGGGAAGAGTAGGAGTAGGGTAACCTACATTGTATGATTATCACCATACAACTCTGGAGGGCTGGCGTGGACAACCACGGCCTCCAGAGTATGGGTCTCCTCTGTCCCCAGGGTCCCTTAACCATGTGCTTTCAGTTGACATTTCCAAAGTTCAGGGACAAAGAGTGCATGATGGGGAAGACCCAGCCCCACCACTGAGATGATTCTCCTTGAAAATGCACCTGCTTCTCAGCTCTCTGCGTTCAGACTAGAGGGTTCTGTGGGAAGCAGGAGACCTCCAGGCCCTGGGGAAGATTTTAGTTGGCGCAGCTGCGAGGAGACACCTCGTGCTGCACCTGTGAGGGCAGAGCTTAATGATGGGCATGCTGGGTGTCAATTATCTGAGCCAAATGGACCAAAGTCCCCATAAACCTCTGCCCCCCGACTGTGGGTGGAGGGGACATGAGGCCGAGGCTGTGCTGGCCTGCTCAGGAATGTGCCCACTCGTCATGGCCGCGGGCGTGCTCCCAGCAGGAACCTAGGCCTTTGTGTATGGATAAGGCCCAACTTATTCAACCTTCCTTGTTTTTAGAGGAGGAGGCTTGGAGTCCTTTAGATGCATGGATATGCGGACTCTCAAAGTCAATTCCTCGGGCTCTAATGGAGCTGCCACCTGATAAGAAGCAAAAGCTCTTGAATGAATGTAAGGGCATCATCAGGGATCTGAAGTACACAGATGACAAGGAGCTGAACAGACTGGTCATGGGTAGTGAGGACCTGAAGCAGCAGCTACTGTGGAAGCTGAAAAAGTACCTCAACGAATAAACTTCAGTAAGTTGACTAGATGACTCTCCTGACCTATAAGCACAGTAGGCCAATCAGATGGTTCTCCTAATTCATAGAAGGTGATTGGGAAGTTGGGGTAAGCCCCACCCATTCATTATTCATGTGTTGGGCTCAAGTCTCTGAACCCATGAGATATGAGAGTCCTGGTCCGGACGCCCCACACTGATGTCCCCGGGAGCCCCTCCCACCCCCTGGCCTGCCGGCCTTTATTCCTGGGAAAGACACTGACCCAACTCCTGACCAGAGTTGAAGCAGATGGAGCAGCCCTTCCTGAGTGAAGTCACCCGGGACCAGCAGGGTCCTGGGGTGCCCTGGGAGGGGCTTTGGGCCCAAGAGCGCAGAGCAGACCTCCAGTCCTAACTCGGGAGGAGAAAGCACTTTCCTGGCTCTCCCTCCGGCTCTCCCCTCGCCTCCTGTGCTTTAGTGTTTCCTTCTGTGTCTCCTTTGCAAAATCTTCATTTATTTATTCTTTTAACAGGTAATTAGAGCCTGGTGCAAAACTCGGAAGACTCCAGAGAGGACAGATGGAAAGGCGAGGCTTCCCCCTGCATGCAGGCCTACCCCAGCCCCCTCCCCGGGGGCAGCCACCGTGCCCCGGTCTTGGGTTTTCCCTTACTCCCCTTGAAATGGTCTTTGGAAACCATAATCATTTCCTTGCGTTTGTGTTTATTGATGAAAGCTTAGAAAAATGCAGAAAAGCATCAGGAGACCACTTTTCAGTGTTACCATCCAGAAAATCACCCTTAAAGGACTGTGTTACACATTCCTCCAGCTTCAGCACAGCTTCTAATACCACGTGTCGGCATCTCCAACACACTCACGTTCTTCCCGTTCAGACTTCTTTGCACGTTGTTACCAATTAACACCAACATCTGTGACGTCGTCCTTCAAAATGTCTTGTGAATATGCGTCATGGCGTGGAGCATCCCGGCACCGAGCCCGGTCCCCGGTGTGGTTTTCACTGCTGCAGCGAACATTCTGTGTTCACCTTCCGTCACATCTTGGACTCGGACAGACGGTCGTTCAGACACATTCCCCAGAGTAAGACTGCCGGAGCAAAAAGTCTGCGGGGTTTCTGAAGGTCTTACATTCAATCAAAGTTCTTTCGAGACAGGGAGTGTCCGTAAGGTGCCCTCCCCGCCACAGGGTTTGGGGTACACATCTCACTGCATCTGCACCAAGACACAGGAGGAGGGTGTATCACAATTCCTTATTAGATGGGTGCTTGTGGACATCTTGGTTGGATTCGGTTTCCTTTGCTAATGGGGGTGACAAGGCCGGGGTGGCCTCCTGCTGGCCCTCTCCCCAGGTGGTGTTGACGCACGCCCCCCAGGCCCAGTGGCTGACTCCCAGCAGAGGGTGAGGGGGTCCCAGCCTGAGCAGAGGGCTGGCTGTGGGCTGGCCCCTACGCTGGCAGGGTGGTGGCAGGTGGGCAGTGACAACGGGGTGGCTGGAAACAGCAGGGGGCTGCCAGCAGGGCAAAGAGGCAGCCGAGGAGGAGCCTTGGTGGGGGTGGGGGACCCAGTAATTATAGAAAGAAACCATCTGTTCGGGCCGGTTATTAACCTGCTTTGGGTGTAGACACGACAGCGCCGGGCAAGGCTCTTCGCGGGCAGATGTTTGTATTTTTAGCTGGAATGAGCTCTCTTATTTTTCCGTTTTCTGAGATGTCTGGGTTGGATGTAAACACGACGGAGGTGTGTTGCAACGTGGGGGGGGGGGCAGTGAGGCCTGGGGCTCCAGGGTTGGAAGGAGGTGGTCCTCTCCCCACTACTTGTTGAGAGGAGCCATCTAGTGGGCAAGGCGGCGCATCCTCTCCCTTCCCTCTGTCTCCCTGGGTCACCTGCCAGGCCAGCAGGTGGCTCCTCAAGGATGCCCTGTTAGGACTTCCCCTGGGCAGGGGGCTGGGGTCTTCCTGAGGTTTGAATAAGCCACGAGCACAGCGTCACCATGTGTCCTGCAACGTGTCTGCAGAGAAACCAGAACGTGTCTCGATCCGGAACAATCAAAATATGGGAATGAAGATCCGCCCGGACTGGCCTAAACCACCCCGGGAAGGGGGCTGTGGGGAGGTAAATGGCTTTACTGGCCAGAGGAGGCTTCTCGGAAGACTTGCTAACGGCGGGTCAGGAGGCGAAGCTGGGGCCCGGCCGCCTGACTTGCAGCTTCGGGGCAGCCGTGGGGACCCCAGATGCTGGCAGGCAGGGGGAGCCGCGAGGGGTTTCTCTCCACTACTGACGTGGTGGCTGTTTCTTTCATTCGTGTGCGTCTCAGGGACGGCCTTTCCCCCTTCTCCTTTGCAACGAAGCAAAGGCCTGAACGATTAATGGGTGAACGTCCATACAAACGACCCGACCCAAACTGGCAGGGCCGCAGGATGACGACGCACACAGAGCGGCGGCGACCACGCGCCGGGACACGGTCCTCTGGGAGAGAGGCTTGAAGAAGAAAAGGCTCAGGAACCAGGAAGCTGCACACACTTTCCAGCCAAGACACTGCACTTCAGGGGGACAGGACGAGACAAGAATCTCAATGGAAACGAGATCAAGACGCCCAGGGCCCTGCTGTTTGGGGCAGCGGGAGAGGAGGGAGCCGCCCCAGGGCCGAGCACCAGGGAGGGAGTCAAGGTGCCTCCTGGGCAGCGTCATCACTGACTTCAATGCGGAGGAGACGGGGATGGGCCTCTGGGATTCAGATCGGCTGCCTACACCGCGTGTGCCCCACGGCAACTTCACACTTACGGGCTTGGGGGGAATAAAGAGAAAGACAAACGGGAACTGGTGCTGGGGACCGCTCGGGGTTCCCGGGCAGGGAGAGCCTGGCTCAGAGGAAGCCGCACAGGTGGACCAGGATCTCCGGGTGTGGCACCTCGTGCCCGGGGGGATTCCAGGGTGTAAACACGTGCATTATGCACCTGTCCCGAAACCAAACAGGAACCAGCCTGGCCCCCAGCTCCCGGGGCTGCCTCCCAGGGACCGTCCACCGCCGCCCCGACTGGCCTGGAGGCCCTCCCTCTCGGAGGCCTGGCCCCGCTGGCACGGGAAAGGGTCCCGCTCATCCCCAGGCGGGTGGCACAGGCACCTAGGCTTCCGGGCAGGAGGGCCTGCCGAGCCGGGGGCCCTTTGGGACGTGGGGTCTTCTCTCTGGTGTCTCTGCAACAGGACGTAACACAAGCCGCAAGTGTGAGCCCGTCATAAAGGACCGCACAGAGCACAATTCCATGCGTAGCTAATGTCCGAATAGGCAATCTGCAGAGACTGAAGACCAATGGATAGGGGTCAGGGGCTGGGGCAGGGGAGAATGTGCTTGGGTGCCCAGAGGTGTAGGGTTTCTTTTGGGGTGTAAACAATCCCCTGGAATCAAGTAGTGGGAATGGGTACATGATTCTGTGAATACACCAGGAGTCTCTGAACGGCAAACTTTAGTGGATGGATGGATTTTCTGCCATGTGAAATTTATCCCAACACAGCTGTTTAAAAAGCAACTTTTACCTCTGTAGCCACTGCTCCATTTCTCTGTCCCTGTGCAGTGCAATTCCTCAAAAGACTTTGCCAGTTCGGCTTGCTTCTGGGTGCTTTCCAGCAGACATTTGGTAGAAGAAATAAAAATAAAATGGTGTTTCGCAAACGCTAATTCACGTGGGAACCATCGCTGGTTCCTGCTGACATGTAGATACTTGGGCCTCACTCCAGGGTCCTGCATGTGCAACAAGTTCAGATGCTACCTCGGGTCAGTAGACGACAGCAGGAGGTGACTGGTGCAAAACACGGCAAGTCAGGAGCTTGAACGGTTGCTCTAGAAGTGTAAGTAACTCAGTTGAAACTTGTAGGATAGGGGTCCCTGGGAGGCCCACCTGGTGAAGCATCTGCTTTCAGCTCAGGTCGTGATCCCAAGCGCTGCATCAGGCTCCCGGGTAGGAGGAGGGGGAGGAGGGTCTGCTTCTCCCTCCCTCCCAGGTCTTGCGTTTTTTTCTCTCTCTGAAATAAACTCGTAAAACTTTAAAAAATAAGTCACGTGCTAGAGCTTCCTGGGACGCGGAGGGTTGCAAGTATTACGCTTTGTTAACAGTAAGATGTTTGGAAACAAGGGGACTTTTCACAGCGCAGGGTCAGTGACCTTGGGGAGGTCTGATGAAGCACTTGGAAGGTCTTTGTTCACGCTCAAAACCTAGTCCCAATGTGGTTTCCACCTCTAAAGCTTGCAGCTCCCGTGTCTTACCTAATTTGTCTGAAGAAGAGAAACGCCGCTCGGGGGACAGAGCGTGGGCGTCAATGGAGTACGCATAAGGGAGAGGCCTGGTTCCAGGCCCGAACACTGGCCAAGGCGGCCGACGTGCGCCGTGGGAGCTCCGCTAGCCCCGAGCTCCCCGAGCACAGCTGAGCAGGCCGAGCTCCTGCGGCGCAGCACACGGAGGCTGTTGTACTGTAGGGGTCGCAGGGCCTGGTTCTCCCTCCACAGGACGGAGGCAAGGAGGCCTGTGTCTCCGGAGCTACCCCAGCAAGGGGCGCGCTTCAAGGGTCCCGGGCGCTGAGCGCAGGCCGGGAAGTGGTGCCGCGACGTCAGCACCCACGGTCCTTGGTCCTTGGTCCTTGGTCCACGCCTCCACACGGTTCATTGTGTTAGACGCTCTGTTCGGGCCGGGGAGAGGCGGGCTCCCCGCGGGGCCCCGACGCGGGCCTCGATCCCGGGACCCGGGGTCACGCCCCGAGCCCCCCCCCCCCCGGCGCCCCCAAATCTACACGTTTCACGTCGTTCTGCTGCCGAACAACCCTTGAGAGTCGCTGTTATCCCGGCGCGCACCGGAGAACCCGGGATCCGGGATGCTGACGCCCGCGCCTGCGCGGAGGCCCCTCCTCGCCCCGCGCAGCCCCCGCCCCTCCCCCTCCCCGCCCCTCCCCCCCCCCCCCCGCCGCGCCGGGCCAGCACGTCCCTTACCCTTCATCCTCGGGTCCTCCCGGGCCGGGCTGGGGCGGCCCCGCGGTCTCGGCCTCCGCGCCCCTCCGACCGCCGGGGGCTCCGCGGGCCTCCCCGTCCCTGTCCCCGTCGCTGCGCCCCTCGGACGCCGCACCCGCAGGCTCCAGCCGGCAGCCGGGCTCGGCGCGCGGGACTCTGACGCGCCGCCTGTGACGTCACTGACGCGCGACCCCGCGGCCGCGCCTGCGCAGGAGGCCGGCCCCGCCCTCGAGGGGCCCCGCGGGTCAGGGCGTGGGAGGCGGGGTCTGCGCGCGGGGCTTCGCGGGGGCGGGGCGTGGGCGGGGCTTCGCGGGGGCGGGGCGTGGGCGGGCTTCGCGGGGCGGGGCGTGGGCGGGGCTTCGCGGGGGCGGGGCGTGGGCGGGGCTTCGCGGGGGGCTTTCATCTGATTGGATCATCACTTGGCGAAAGTAGTTACTGGCCTGACAGTTTAATGGTGCGGCTTGTAGGCCGCGTTAACGTCCTTATGGGGAAAAGGGCGCCCTGAAGGTGTCACTGACCTCTCCGTCCCTGTCATCCCTCCTTATAGCCTTTGCCGGGCAGCCAGTGGTCTCTCTGGTTGGTTTTGGGGGGGAGGGCGGGATGCTTCCTGGGTGAGGCTGCAGAGGGTCCTCCCTGGCGCATACCCTAGTGCCTTGGCCTCAAAGCTCGGAGCGTCCCGGCAACGGCAGCGCCCCTGTTAGAAATGCAGATGCTCAGGCCCCTCTGTGCGCCTGCGCTTGAACCAGACCCTCCAGCGATGGGTGTGAGCAGCCCTGACGGACACGTTACGGGATCTTCCCGGGTCACAGTGGCTCCCCGTTGGCGCAGCAGCAGAAGGAGGTGGGGCAGGAAGCCACCTGGGATGACTGACCCCATCTCCTCGTCACATTTGATGGGACTGGGGCTAATCATCTGACCCAAGCTGGGCCAATCACTGCCCTTCTCTAGGAATTTGGATAGGACTGTGTGTGCGTGTGCGTGTGCGTGCGTGAGTGAGGGGCACACCTTCTCCTTGGGGCGCCAGATGTAGAACTTACACGCCTGAGAGCGGGTCATCTTTAACCAGCTGCAGGGCCCTGAGCAGGTGGATGTGTTAGGCAATGGATAGCGCCGGCCTTTAGGGTTCTGTCGCAGCCCCATCCTGAAGCACAAGTACCCTGCATCCCGGGAACGTCCCCGTCAGCCTCGTCTGGCTTGAGTTGGGTCACTGTGTCAGCTGGGACTTGTGCTGGCAGCAAGGGAGCCCGGACTCTGGCTGTCTTCCTCTGGAGAGAACGTCTTGGTTGCTGAGGGCTTTCAGGGGCTCACGGGAGGCAGGTGGCCCCAAAGGTGCCAGGCGGGTGGGCATCGGAAGACCGAGGCAGGGCGCTGCAGGGCGGACAGGCTGTAAACATAAGCCACGGCCACGGGGGATGCCCAGGCCGTTCTCACCCTGGGTCTCCCTCCCGGGGCCCGGGCCCCGAGGCTGTCCAGGGCCGGGGAAGGGGCCGACGGAGCTGCCCTGGCTCGCGGGCCCCTCTCAGATCCCCTGCCACGGATCTGCACACAGCGAGGGCGTAGTCAGTCCCCAAGGGAATATGATGATGAAGGAAGAACGGCTGCCGGACAGCCCCGACGTGCACGGCTCCGAGTCCCGGTCGAGGCAACTCGTTTGAGGGTGATTCTGCAAAGGTGGCAGGAGGGAGCAGAGAGTGAGCCCAGAAGGAGGAAAAGACAGTAAAGGGCACTCTGTCTAGGTCACCTGTGTGGGCGACGGGACTCGGTGTCCTGAGGCAGGCCGAGCGCCTTTGACAATGACCCACCAGGGATGGGAGAGGCATGCCCAGGGGACCCCTGGGCCTCACCCGAACTCCTGCGCCGCCTCTGTGCCTGCGCCACACTGAACAGGCTCTGAGGCTTAGCGGAGGCCCTGGGGAAGAGCTGAGGCATGGACCGGACCCCTGGGATGGGCCCTTGGGCGCCACCTGGGAGCGGAGGACACGGACCAGGCCCCTGGGACGGGCCCTTGGGTGTCACCTGGGAGCGCCCGCCGGCGCTGGGTCAGCCCGAGAAGGCCGAGGAGAGGGCCTGCGTGGTGCAGAGCATCTTTCTGGTCACGAGGCACCGATCGTGTTTAAATGCCCCCAGTAACCTAGATGCGGGGACGGAGTCGATGCCCCCAAACGGGAATGATGCAGTGAGTACCTCAAAACACGCCGCGCCAACCATGTCGTGAAAATTCCCCTTTCAGTCTTGACCAATGGCATGAGTCGGGCACTTGGGAACCTTACTCGTAGGACCGAGCAGGGACAAAGGCTCTGGTGTTCCTCTCCGGCCTATGGGCGCCTTTGCACGGCCTCTTCTACCGAGCACGCACCGGTAGGAGGCCAAACGCCGACGTCTGTTCAATAAACCAAAACCAATTGCTGACATATCTGCTGCTGTGTTTAGGGCATTTTTCTTCGTCCCTGCCTCATACAACGGAGGGGGAAACGGCAAGTTCCTCATTTATTTGACTCATTTTAGTTTTTAACAGGTCAACCAGCGCTGGGCTTTGACCCGGGTCTGCCTTTTGCTCGCCGAGCCGCCCTGGCCCCGGTTCCGTCGTCCTGGGGTGTCTGTGCGCAGAACCCCGGCTCTGGCAAAGGTCGGGGCGGACGGGCTGGCGCTTCTTTCCTTCCGGGACTGCAGTTCTCTTTGTTAGGTTTGCTTTGCCGTGTGCGTGCCGTGTTCCCCCCACGTTGTCTCCATCGTGACAGGTGCCCTGACTGCCCATGCCGTGCGTGGAATGGCTCAGCGCCCCCTCCCCCCTGCAGCTGGCTCAGCCTCCATCGTCCCAGGCCCGTGCAGAGACCTCTCTGTGTTCCCGAGGGGCCTCTGAGACCCCCGCGAGGGCCGCCTTTGCTCAGCCGCCCCGAGACCCGCTGCTTCTTGTTTCCACACCTCAACAGGAGTCGCAGTGAGGCCTCCACCTCTGGGGACGCCGCTGTGGAAAAGCGCTGAGTTTCGCTGCAAGGAGACGGCTGCGGTCCTGGTTGGGGACATCCCGCTGTGTCGGCGTCACAGGCCTGTCCCACGGCAGGGAGGCGGGGAGGCTCCTAAGGCCCGGCCTAGGGATCCCTGGGTGGCGCAGCGGTTTGGCGCCTGCCTTTGGCCCAGGGCGTGATTCTGGAGACCCCGGATCGAATCCCACGTCGGGCTGCCGGTGCATGGAGCCTGCTTCTCCCTCTGCCTATGTCTCTGCCTCTTTCTCTCTCTCTCTCTGTGTGACTATCATAAAATAAATAAAAATTAAAAAAAAAAAGAGTCTGTCTAAGGCCCGGCCTAAACACCGCTTCAGTTCAAACCACGAATGGGGAGCCCGTGCTTCCCTCCCGCACCTCATCGCAATTCATGGTTTCTCTCCCTGGGCCCCTTCCCACCTCATGACTGTGCTGACCTTGGTCCACGTGGAATTCCAGTTCGCTGTGGGTGTGCTCACCCCTCCTGCGGGGCCACCAGCTCCTTCGCCGAGTGGGGGCCGGGAATCCTCCCACCGTCAGCTCTTTCTCCGACTCGGAGCTGCGTGTGTCTGAGTGACTGACAGGAGCTAACGGCCCGGCTGCAGACCGCAGGGCCTGTGGCACATGGACACCCGTGTCTCCAGCCTTCCCTTCCTCTGAGTCCCGCTGGCCACCTCTCCCGTGCTTGGGCCACACAGCTTTCCCTTTTGGGGTGATGGTCCCCACCTCAGGGGAACCCCAAGCTCCCACCTAAGTGACCTGCTGATGCTCGGCCACCGGGGGGCCGGGTGTGAAAATCACCATGTTCCAGGAGAGCCCTTCCCAGAGCAAATGTTCTGCTGAAAACCACTGGGAAGTTACAGTTTACACATAGAATCTTCCTTGTGTGTGAGAATTGCTTTAATTAAAGATATTTTATTGCTTTGATTTTATTACAGAAGTAGTGTTCATCGTGGCAACGTTGAGCCTTGCAGTCAGCCACCAACGCACACACCATCCCACCCAACATGGTGACGTCAACCCTTTAATACCTTGGGGTATAACCATCTAAACCTGTGTGTGTGTGTGTGTGTGCATGTGCGCACGTGCATCAGTGCTTCTATTCTCTGTGTAATAAAATCCAGATTCAATCCTTATTTTAAACATGCTGCAGGAACTTGCTATTTAAAGGAATCCTAAGTAATTCCTTTCGGGATATGAATAATTCCTCTAGGATTTATTGGTCCCATGGGGTCAGGGAAAATCTGAAGTTATAAACTATTTATGGTTGGGGGTGTCTAGGTTTGAAAATCTTTGAAAATTTCTATTTCTGTCCTGCCTCCATATCCATGCATCCATGTATACTTCCATCCATCCATCCATCCATCCATCCTTCCTTCCTTCCATCCATCCATCCATCCATCCACCCATCCTTCCATCCATCCTTCCATCCATCCATCCATCCACCCATCCATCCACCCATCCTTCCATCCATCCTTCCATCCACCCAAGCATCCATCCATCCATCCATTCTTCCATCCATCCATCCATCCTTCCACCCATCCTTCCGTCCATTCATCCATCCTTCCATCCACCCAATCTTCCATCCATCCATCCATCCATCCATCCATTCTTCCATCCATCCATCCATCCACCCATCCTTCCACCCATCCTTCCATCCATCCATCCATCCTTCCATCCATCCATCCATCCTTCCATCCATCCATTCATCCATCCTTGCATGCATGCATGCATGCATCCATCCATCCACCCAACCATCTATTCATCCATCCTT